ACCTTCCTTGTGTACAAAGTAAAAATGAACACAATGGAAATAGATTGCTCCATCTTCCTTCTGAGGAGTGGCTGGTGGGTTTGAACCACCAGCCTTCTGGTTAACAGTCAAGTGCCTTATTAATGTCTATAAGTTATTAAATTCCCTCTGTGAATGATATTCTGTCCTTTTAACAGTCAAATGATATTAATAATCAAATGAACATTTCTGTGTCCTTTTTTCTTTTGTAAAAGTTTGCTAGTAACAGTGTTAGAAGCATTCCACTTTGACCACAAAACTCTTGAAGAACAAATGGGGAAAATACAGAATGAAGAAAGTAAGTTTTTAAAACTTTCTTAAACTATATTTCCCTCTTTTTGGATAGTTTATGAGCATGAATTAAAGGCGGCACATTCAGCTTGTTCCCCTTTTCTGTTCTTAATAACACCACCTAGTGAATAAGTCAAAAGAAAATTCAAAGAAATGGTTTGAGTATTCTAAAAAACCTTATTTAACTATAGGAAAGACCAGTCTGAATTGTACTAGTGAAAAAATATTCATGCTAAAGATGATTTACATAGAAATCCAGTGTATAGGAAGGGTGTTAGGTAATGAGAGAATAAGTGGATGAACATAAAATACAGGCAATTCCTGGACTACAAACGCATTCTGTTCCTAAGCCTGTTTTTGAGTCAAATTCATACATACGTTGGAATGGTTAGGCATGGTTCGTATCCAACTCAGTCAGATGTTTGTGTTAGTATATTATATACCTTTCTGTGCATGGAAAACAAGAAACACTTCCAGATACACTAAAACATCTTTAACAGAATAATATAGTAATAATGTTTGATGCCTATCGCAAAGCAGTGCCCATGTATTATTATGAGCCATTATATGTACCTCCAATTTTTAATATAATAGACTTTACAAGGGTTGGTTCATAACTACAGGTTGTATGTAAGTTGGACATTCATAACCCAGGGACTGCCTAAAGATACAATAGACAAGATCAACAAAGCTAACAATCTGTATTTGAAAAGGTTAAATTGGGAAACCTCTGACAAGAATGATCAATGGAAAAAGAAAGCATAATAAACAATATTAACTGAAAAACCCACTGCCATCGAGTCAATTCTAACACATAGTGACCCCCATTGGGTTTCCAGGGCTATAAATCCTTGTGGAAGTAGATTGCCCCATCTTCCTCCTGTGGAGCAGCTGATGGGTTTGAACCACTGACCTTCTAGTTAGCAGCCAAATGCTTTACCCATTCTACCACCAGATTCTCCTTGATAAACAATATTAAGTGTGAAAATGAGCATAATTAATGAAAAAGGTAAAATATAACTTGGTTAAAATGTACAAATTCTTAGAAAACTAACTCAGAAGCAGTACAAAATCTGAATGACTCTATAGCCATTACATAATTTGAGCCTTTAGTTAAAAGTCTTCTGAAGAAAATGACAGACTGTTTTATAGGGAACTTTTATCAAACATTTAAGGAATGGATCATTTCAGCCTTACACCAGCTATTTCAGATAATTGAAAAAGAAGTGAGCCCCATTAACTCACGAGATTGGTATAAATTGTAAACCAAAATCTGACAAGGATAGTATGAGAAAAGAATATTATAACAAGTCTTATTCATGAATATAGATTAAAATCCTAAAACCAAATATTTGCAAACCAAACTCCACAGTCAATAAAAACATTAAAAGCATGACCATATTCACTTTATCCCAGGAGTCCAGTGTTGGTTCAATATCAAAAAATTAATTGATGAAATCAGCATTAAAAACAAAAAATAGTCATCTTAAGTAGACAAAGACAACCATGTGATTAAATTTAATATCTATTTGTGATAAAAATGTTTATTAAATAAGGGATGGGAGTTTCCATAACCTGTTAAAGTATGTGTTCAAAAAACTTAATGCAAACATCATACTCAGTGGTAAAGGATTTAAAAACCTTTGCTTTAAAACTGAAACTAGATGTTTTAGCCAGTACAGAAGAAGTAAGGAAAGAACAGTCAAGATACTTCTCCCAGTTTTGGACACAGACTTTGAAATAGTCTGGCCCTCAGTTTATGCTACTCAAGATGCCTTCTGGCTCAAAATGATCTAATTCTTTGATTCAAGGTAAAAGTATTCTGTCATCACACTAATGAATGAAAAAGACTGGTTTGAATTAGTAGAAGTTGTGTTTTAAACAGTTACGGTAAGCCCTGGGACAGTTAGTTCTCTTTAGTCATTTAACGCTTCATTTTGCTATTTTGTATTAAAAAAAAAATTAAATATACTTACTTTGCTTAACTATCTCTTCTGAGATGGTATACTCTTTATCCTAAACTTGCTCAAATTATCCAAGTTTAGTGGTGTCCAAATGTGTATAGTTTGATGTATTCAGAAAGGTAACTTAAACATGAGTATGCTGTCTGTATCAGGTAATATGTGTGTTGCACCTGAGTGTGGTTCTCTCAGGTGCTGCTGTGACCCTATACCATGGATATCTCCATTTCATAACTGCCTGGGGTCCGTTAGGGTCATGATTGCCAACTCCTAGTGAATTTTCACAATATTCACATTTTTTAACTTACACTGAATTATTTTGTCCCTGAGAAAGATTCCAGTGGGATATTTTATTATTGCTATAAGCTGGATGTTACAAATTTCAGTTGTTTTGGATACAACTTGTCTTAATATCTCATGTGAGGCCTAAAAATACCAGTTACTGTCACATCAGTTCCTACTCATGGTGACACCACGTGTCAAAGCAGAACTGTGTTCTGTCGGGTTTTCAATGGCTATTTTTGGAAATAGATTGCCAGGCCTCTCTTCTGAGGCACATCTGAGTGAACTCAGCTCCCAACTTTGGGTTAGTAGCTGAGCATATTAACCGTTTGCCCCACCCAAGGACTCCTGTATGAGACAGAGTTGTGATTAAGTCTAACTTTCTGCCCACTGGGGCGTCAGATAAGTCATCTTACCTACAAAGGCTGATTCTGAGTGTCTGAAACACTGGGGAAATCAGTAGGGCTAGAAGAACTACTTTCTTTCCTTGGATTAGACTTATATCACCTAGGAATCACACGCTCTAGGGATTGTTGACCTTGGTTCTGATCTGGATGAGGAATATCTTCCAGGTTCTTGATCTCAAAATTAGTCTTCAACTTACCAGTATTTTGCTCCCACCTCTCAAAACATCTCTTCTTCATTTTCCTCCATAATCACCTCTTCTGTACCAGTCATATCAGAGATTGGCAACATCAATGACGGTCTAATTTATGAAACAACCAGGAACCATAATCTACTAGTTACCAGCAGTGTCCTAAATTAACCAGCCTCTCAGAGCTGAGCCAACCCAGGCTGGAGCAACCAAGATGAGGAACAAGGAGCATCACTGAATTACGGTTCTGTTGTTGTTGTTGTTATGTGCCGTCGAGTCAGAAGGTTTCCTTTTCTGATTATTCATTCTTTGTGTCACTAAAAGTTGATCAACAAAAAAATGAGATGGCAGATCAAATAAAATTATAGTCTTTTTTAAGGAAAGGAAAAATAAATCCAGTGACAAGGAGGACTAGAAACTTTTAAACATTTATTGGACACCTACTCTGTGCTGGGCTTTTATAGACCATATCTCATTAATCCTCACAAGAACTTTAGTTAACTCATATTTTTGATATAAGAAACTAAGTTTCAGAGAAGCAAAATAACTTTCTCAAAGCTACACAGCCAGACAATGAAATAGACTGATAGCTTCCATTTTTTGAAAGTCAGTGGAGTGTCAGGTGCCTGTTTTAGGCACATGATAGAATTGATCCCATATACTTTTCACAATCACCTTGCAAAGTGGATGCTATCTCCATTTCATGGGCAAAGAATCCAAAGCCACTCAGTTAAATAAATTGGTCACAAAGCTTGTTAGCAGAGCCAAGTTCGGACTTGCTCAACTCTGCTGCACTGCCTCATTTTCATTGATAAGCTGAACATGCCATTACAATTTTCATGCTCATGAAAGGAGGTTTTGTTTTAGAAACCTTCTCTAACCACAGTATCTGGAAGCTTTCTGTAGTTTAGTACCTGCTGTCCCCCAGCCTCCCAGTGTGCCCCCCATAGTACCTTGTACTATCCCATACTCTTTTATAATTGCCAATTTACTTCGCTCTATTCCTCATTGCACTCTAAACTGTGAGAAAGCAAAGCCCCTGCCTCCTCCTTATTTATTGCTGTTTCTTCAGCATATGCATTGCCTGCCCAGAGTTGGTGATTAGGTTTTGGTTTTTTTTTTTTTAAATGGGATGTTGGATGTTAGTGGAAAAGATTACTGAATGCAATTGTGTTTTTTCCTTATTTGATTTAAGGTGACTTTTGTTGTTTACTAAACATAGACACGGTAGAAGTGATTGAGGTATCAGAACATGAAGCCATGGAGTTAGAAGAAGAAGGAAAGGATGGAGAAGAGACGGGAACGGAGAACAACGAGGAACTGGGAAGCCCTGATGCAGCAGGTGCTGAAGAGTCGTCAGCTAAGGAATCCGGGCGTATCACAGAGTCCCTCCCCTTCCTCCCGCAGAATAAGGAAGAATTGGAGAGAACAATAAAAAGTATCCAAGGAACCATAACTGGGGATATCCTGCCCAGGCTACATAAATGCCTTGCATCTACGGTAATTGTCCCGTTTGGAGCCTAGCGGAGGGTCTGTGGAACTCAGGCTTGGCGGGGCCCTGTCAGACTCTTAACTGTTGCTGATTGACTTCAGCTTTTGGGTTTCCCTTTATCTCAGCATTTCACATTATATCTCCCTTCTCTGACCTTGTCAACCTCAGGCTCATCTCCTGCTGCAGCGTGGCGGTGATGTGCCTTCATTATGATTTTATGATACATGGTTATTATTCTGATATAGTTTTCAATCTCTAAAGTAAGCATTACGATGAGTCCCATTTCTAGGACAAGGTCATTAAAAATTAGAGTATCTCTCTGTTTTCTACTTCTTTGCTACTTCCCTATTACTCAGAATTCACCTTTCCCCAGGTTAACACCAGTAACATTTTAGCAACACATTCTCAGAAGCTGGAGCCTTTTTCTAATCTGTGTAAAATGGGGTCAACAGACTATGACCCATGAGCCCAATCTAGCCCACAGATATTTTCTTTCTAATAGATAAGTTGAAGTAGAAGACAGCCATGCCTGTTGGTGCTACAATGGCAGAATTAAGTAATTGCAATATTTATATGGCTTATGAAGCCAAAAATATTTGCTGTCTAGCCTTTTGCAGAAAAAGCTTAACAACTTTTGGAGTAAAACATTGACTTGGTCATTTTGTATACTGTGTGTGTGTGTGTATGTGTGTGTAGTCTTTATTGAGGCACTATATTTCTTGTATCCAAAAAAACCAAACTCCTGCCATCAAGCCAATTCTAACTCATAGTGACCCCATTAGGTTTCTAAGGCTGTAAATCTTTATGGAAGCAGACAGCCTCATCTTTCTTCCTCAGAGTGGCTGGTAGGTTCAAACCATTAACCTTTTTGTTAGCAGCCGAATACCTTAACTACTACCCCGCTGGAGCTCCTTACATTTCTTGTGTTCCAACAAGTAAATCCTTTTGTACATTGGGGCAAATTGTATGTCACTCAAACACTTAAGTCCTGTACTGACATAGATTTTATGTTCTTTTTAAATATTTAATAGAAATCTCAGCCATGTTGTGAAAACGAGGCTTTATTTTATTTTTTTTGCTTGTTTTAAAAGTAGAATATTCTTACTGATACCATTTTTGTAATCTTATACAGTTCTCGAATTGTTTGACTGAGTTTGCTTTTTTAGCTACGAAACTTAGAAATGTGCTAAAGAGACATGAAAAGAGCTCATCTTTCAAATGGAAGGTTTCCCTGTTGGGAGATCTGTCATCTGTTTCTCTTCATTTTGATTTAACCAAAACCTTTCTTACAGACTAAAAGGGAAGAAGAACACAAGCTTATAAAGTCAAAGGTTGTGAATGATGAGGAAGTGGTTCGCGTTCCATTAGCTTTTGCCATGGTTAAACTAATGCAGTCCCTTCCACAAGAAGTGATGGAAGCCAATCTGCCAAGGTATGTTGGGTGACAAATTAAAAAAGTTTAGCAAAACCCAAAATTAGTTCTCACTTCTTGAGTCTCCATTTTAAGGAAGGAAGAGAAGTACCATCACTATTCACTATGGTTTTGAATCCTAACTGGGAAGTTTAGATTAGGAGTGATTGAGAGATCTCACTCTCCTGCCATCAGGTCGATTCCAATTCATAGAGACCCCCATTGGATTTTCAAGGCTGTAAATCTTTACAGAAGCAAACCACCCCATCATTCTGCAGAGCAACTAGTGGGTTTAGACCACTGATTTTTTGGTTAGCTACCAAACGCCTTAACTACTACACCACCAGAGCTCCTTAGTTGAGGATAAAAGGGTATTTATATTTGCTTCTGTTTATTTGATACATCACTTTCTCAATTTCTCATTTCCTAGTATTTTGCTGAAAGTATGTGCCCTTCTCAAGAACAGAGCACAGGAAATAAGGGACATTGCACGTAGCACTCTCGCAAAAATAATAGAGGATCTGGGTGTGCACTACCTACAATATATTTTAAAGGAATTACAGACGACACTTGTCCGTGGCTATCAGGTAAAGTGCATTGTGTACTTTGTTCATTTGGGTTGTCTGTTTTCAGTAAGATTGATCCACTGAGATAGCAAGCAAGAACATTCAAAAGTTTCTAATCAATATTAAAGAAATCTGTTCTTTAAAAGGCCCCTATACTTGATTTTTTTTTTTTTTTTTTAAGATCATTATAGCCTGGCTTACATGACTTGTCTTTTTTTCCTCCAGAATCACTTTATATCATGTTTTGTGTTCTGAGTTCTTAATAAAATGCTTGTTGAGTGTATGGACTGTATTGTCCCAGATGTGAATAATTAAGAACATGTATACATTAGTATTGTGTAAGAGCTGAAACATACTGTGATAAGTCACGACAGTAATACTGAGTGCCAGGTGGATAACCAAATACTTTGCGTAGTTCCATGGCGGTCTGGCTCCTTGCTGCTCCAGTGTGGTCCTAGGGCCTGCAGCTGACCTGTGGCATCGGAATCTGCATTTTAAGAAGATCCCCAGGTGATGTAAAATTTGAGGAACACTGCAGCTTGTTCTTTTACCCAGCCAAGACTCATGGTAGTTAGCATTACCTTGTATATCCTCGTTTGTTGATAGGCAAAGTTCCTACTTACAGGTTATAGGTCTAACACTGAAAATATCAGTATTCATCTTGACTATATCTCTTTGTATAATTTTTTTAGGAGTTGCCCTAGAGATTCCCATATGCATACTTAAGTTTCTAAAGTCTGTTTAGAATCAATATTTTACCTTTTAAGTGAAATGTAGAAAAGTTACTACCATGTAAGTCTTTGCCTTTCCCCTTTATATTGTAATTGCCTTCTGTAGTGCATCTCCATGTACAGAAAACTTCGTGAGGCAGCATGAGAATTTTTACTTTTATTTGCCACATGTTTTAAAGATCTCAAAAGGAGAAACAGTCTCTTGTCTTTCCCAGATACTCACCATTTCTGTTGCTCTCCCTTCATTCCTGATGTTCCAGTTTCTCTCTGCTATCACTTCCCTTCCATCTGAAGAACTTCCTTTAGCAGGCTTGTAGAGCTCTGCTCATGGCAAAGGATTCTCTTAGTTTTCTTTCATCTGTGAATGCCTTGATTTCACCTTCCTTCCTGAAGCATATTTTCACTGGTAATAAGAATTCTGTATTGTGTTCCTTTCTTTCAGCACTTTAAAAATGTTGTGCTACTTCTAGCCATGAGCGAGCCACAGTTTGTGAAACTGCTGTTCCCCCTAGGTAATGGGTTGTTTCTCTCTAGCTGCTTTTAAAGGCTCGGTCTTTGTCTTTGTTGTTCAGCAGTTTGATTATAATGTGTCTGACTGTGCATTTCTTTGAGTTTATTTGTTTTAGAGTTTGCTGAACTTCTTGAATCAGTAAGTTTATGTCTTCCATATTGGGGAGTTTTCAGTCATTTTTCCTTCAAATACTGTTTTTGCACAGTGGACTTTATTTTCTCCTTCTAGTACTCCAGTGATACGAATGTCAGACCTTTTGTTACTGTCCCATGGGCCCCTACAGGTTCATTGGCCCCTCCCTTTTTCATCTCTCTTCTGCTTGCTGCCGAGCCTTCCAGTGAGTTTCTTATTCCAGTTGTGTTTTTTGAGTTCTACAGTTTTCATTGATTCTTCTTTATATGTTTCTTTGCTGACACTTTAGATTTTTTTGTTTGTTTTGGTCCTCTAGCTAGAAAGCTGGGCCTTTATTTTTCCCACTATGCATTACAATTCCCATGACCATGCCCATGTCTAGGGCCCAGTGGCAGGAAGAGAGAGAGGAAAAAAAGGTGTATCAGCCCGCCTCCTGGGGGCCGCAGTTCCTCGAAATGGAGAGCAGAAAGTTTCCCCTCCCCCACAGAATTTTGGCTCCTGCCAGCACCCACTACCAGGCCACTGCCACCACCACCACAGGATTGCTTGGGGCAGGGGTGCAAGAGAATGAAGAAAAGTAGGAGAAAAAAATATCCAAGGATTCCCTCCTCTCTTGGAGTGTTATGAATGCCCCCCACCTGCTCTTCATCGGGGCTCCTCCTGGAACTCTCTTTGTCGAGGGCCTGATGCTCAATTCCACGTGGGCTGGGGATGTCAGAAGGGAAGAGTAGTAAACTCACGGACAGTTCTGTGGTGATTGGGTTCTGGTGTCCATTTCCAGTGTTCCTGCTGCATTTTGCCCTCGGAGAGGCGAAGTGCAGGATGCATCCTCCTTCTTACCCAGAACCTGAATCAGTATAAGTTTGTTTCTGTTCTCTAAACTGCTTGAATTACTTCACTTGCATTTTTTCATGGCTGCTTTGTGAGAGGTCATGTGTTGGGCTCCGAGCATGCAAGTATGAACACAGAACATCTCTGTCCTGGAAGGATCATACCGTGCATACTTAAGGAGCACCTCCAGGATTTAAATGAGTAGCCTTTTTTCCTTTATCTGCCTGTTTTTCAAGTCCATCGCATTGTTGCTTAATATAGGAATCGGAGAACAACTAGCTTGGAGCTTAGTATTAATAATATAGACATTTAGCACAATTGCACTCTTTAAATTTCACTCTTCATCCCCCTAAAAAAAGATTTTTAAAAATTATAAAAAGCCCTACAGCAAATATTTTAAATAGATGAAAGTATTTAAAGAACACAGGTAGGTATATATAAAACCATGCCTTTTAGCTATAATCTAATTATTTATTGACAACTAAGTGTGTTTCCTTAGCCTACGAGCTGTATCTGAAGTTTACCTTGAAAATTCAGCAATGGACACAGAATAAAGAACACAGGAGCTTGAGAAACAGTAACATAATCTAGTGGTGCAGCTCTGGGGGCTGTGGCATGTGGCACCAGGCTCTCAGATTTCTGATATACCTGTACTATTTTCTGTCCTTGTAACCTTAAACAAATTATTTGGCCTCCCTGTACCTCTGCTTCTTGTCTAAAAAGTGCTGATCATGTAGCATCTACACTGTAGATGGGGTAGGTGAGGATCAATGAAGTGTTAAGACGATGTCTTGCTCATAGTAAGCTGTGATTATTAATGAAGGGCAGAAACTTAATTTGTTTCCTTCATAACACTTTAAATCCATCTGGAATTGCATTCAACATTGCCAAGATTCTTAATTCACAGATTTGAAGTTCAAGACTCTTGTACCTTTCTTTATAAATCAAAGTTTCTCCCTGCAATGACCTTGCAGGATTCTTGACTCTGATTTGACTATGTTTTTCAAGTGTGATATTCTTAACCATTCATATTCACATTATGCTTTAATTCTAGGTCCATGTGCTAACTTTCACTGTTTACATGTTGCTGCAAGGCCTTACTAACAAGCTGCAAGTTGGGGACTTGGACTCCTGTTTAGATATAATGATTGAGGTAAGGCTTAATTCAAGGAATTCCAGTTTCTTTTTAAGTAGGCAAAGGACACATGTACACATACACAATCAGTTCACAAAATGAGGAGTAATAATAGCCTATGTGAGTCGGGTCCAACTCGATGGCACATAATAACAACAACAACAATAAAAATAAAAACACTGTACTGTTTCATGTCTTACATTAGCAGAGATTTACAAACCCTAAGTTCAAGTAAAGTGAGACAGGTACTCCATCATTATTAGAGGTCATAAGCTGATATGGAGGAATATGGGAATATGCCAAATAAGCATCTCTGGTATTATGGATGGATCAAGAGCTTGTAAAATGAGCAAATTTCCAACTGCTTTCAGGAATCTGTTCTGAAGAAGTAATGAGAACCAGGGACGGAAGGGAATGTGAACAGGAGAGCCATGGTTTAGGAGGCAGTGAGTGTTTGTGGTGATGGGAAATTTGGCAACAATTATGTATGGTAGTTGCTCAACATAATTAATATGATTTATATCTCGTACACCTGAAAATCATTGAATTGGTAAATACTATATTGCATATGTATATATATATAACATTTTTTACAGCAATAAAAAAAGTAAGCAGAGATAATATCTGAGATTTAAATAAATATGAGTTCACCAGATCTTTATTTATAATAGTAGAAAATTAGTAATAATCAACTTTTAAATTAGATAATGTGATGAATCGAGGGAAGGATAACAATTAGGAAGAGACTAAATTTGCCACACAACGTTTTGTTCTTTTACAAGAAATGTAGTCACTGAGAGTTTGAATTTCAGTTTGAATATATATGTGAATTTCAGTAAATAAGTTGCAGATGTCATAAGAAGTTCTTGAGATTAAGTCACCCTTTGGTGGTATCAAGAACGAAGTACCTGTCCTTACAGTTAGGCAGTTATTTTTATAAATCCATGTGGTTTGTAAATTAAAATTTTAAATATAGCCCTCCAGGTGTTTTGATATTTATTTGTCTTTTAGATATTGGTCCCTAAACTACATTGAAAACAAGTAAAATCTAATAGAAAGGCGTACCATCTAATGTCAGTCCAGGCCAGCTGGCTTTCCCTTGAGTTGGACGTGCCAGTGGTGTTTCAGGGACTGCTTACATTATATTTGCTGAGTGAGCATAAGCCCATTGGCCTTTTTCTTTCAAAGATTTTTAACCATGAATTGTTTGGTGCTGTTGCTGAAGAAAAAGAAGTGAAGCAGATCCTTTCCAAAATCATGGAAGCACGAAGAAGCAAGAGTTACGACTCTTACGAAATCCTGGGCAAGTTTGTAGGAAAAGATCAAGTTACAAAGCTTATCCTCCCATTGAAAGAGGTAAGGATTTGAGTACAGTACAGGAGATTCCAACATTTACAATATCACACATCCCTGAAAAGAGCCTAGCAAGGTAAACCTTAACCCTGCATTCAATCACTGGAATTTCCTTTGATGTCAAGGGCACCAGTACCATGTGGCCACTAGATGGCAGTCCTGAGTTGACTATTCTAACCCAAAGTCACAAACCCTATTGTGTGTCATGGAATGTGAAAAAAAGAAATTGTGGTACAGGTGATTTCACATTTGGGTCAAGCTGGCAGCTAAGAACATGGCCTTTGGTATCAGACTACTACTCCCAGATGGCCAAGAAGAAAGAACTAGCACTTAACTGACATTGACTCACAATTCTAAGCACTGGGCTACGTTATCTCTTCTAATCTGCACAACCATCTCTTGAGATCAGTGATGTTTCCATTTTTAAATAAGAGACTTAAGGCTCAAGAAGACAGAAGGAATCAGAGTTAAGGAGGAAAGTCAGGAATTAGTTTTGGATCTTCCTGATCCAAAGCTCACATTCTTTCTCCTGTTTCATTCTGCCTCCTGCCTAGCAGACAGGGTCTATAATTCCCTGCCTTTGTATTCTCTGGTTTGTTGCAGGGGTGAACATCTGATACTCATTCATTTTTTTATACTTGTGTTAACTAAAACTAGAACCATAGGCTCTGTAGTTCCAAATGTTTTGGTGCTAGATTAACTCCATAATTGCTTATGTACACTCTGGGAAACTCCGTTAGGCAGTTCTCTTCTGTCACATGGGCCACCGTGAGTCCAAATCAACTTGGCGGCACCCAGCAACAGCAGTGCACCTGGAGGGTTGGCTTTTTGGAATCTCTGAGCCCATCATCTTCTAGGCCGTGTGCCCTGCGAGGGAGCAGGGAAACAGTGGAGGAGATACAGACATACACAGACTGCTCCAGCGGTTATCTCTGGGGGGAGGTGATTGGTAACTTTACTCATTATATATATGTTTGAAATTTCGTAAGAACGTACACCTTTTTTTATTAGAAAAAAAAAGAACATATATTTAAAAGAAAGTAAAAAAGGAAACTATCATCACAACAAATCAAAATGCAGCTCTGTGTTACTGCAGCATGACATGTCTGTTTGCCTTTAGATCTTACAAAATACCACGAGTTTAAAACTGGCCCGGAAAGTTCACGAAACCTTACGCCGAATCATAGCAGGATTAATTGTGAATCAGGAAATGACAGCAGAATCCATTCTATTGCTCAGTTATGGTTTGGTCAGTGAAAATCTCCCCCTGTTGACAGAGAAAGAAAAGTAAGTTTGGGAATGGGGTGGTTGCTTCTGATAAGCCACTCAGCTCTTACTTTTTTGTTTTTTTTCCCCAATTTTCTCTGATAATTTAGTCTCTGTTTTAAGCCCAAATCCGGATGCAGACAATTACATCTCAGACATTTCACTGTAAACGTGTAAAATGAGGCTTACCTCTGTCTGTGTGGAGTGTTCTCTGCAGTTCCCTCAGCACCCAGAGCTTATGTGTGTAGTTCTCCACCAGTAGCTGCAGCAGGAGAGGCCCTGGTCCTCGGAGGTCACCTGGACTTGCCCTCTGGGCTTTGTGTTTTCTCATCTCTTCCATAAGTTGCCTTCCTTGCTGCTTGCTGTCATCCTCTGAGGAAATTCCTAGTTGTGGAGGCTGGCAGTTCATATGCAGGGTGATGGCCATGTCGATTGTTTCTGGGGTCTTTAAGAGAGAAACTGTTCCATGCCTCTCTCTCCTAGTTTCTGGGGGCAGCTGGCTCTTATTTACTCTTAAGTGGGTTCCTTTAGTAATTTGCTTTTGTTAACAAAAAAAAAATTAATCTGAGGTTTTTTTTAATTACTCATTGAATCATATTAGATATTAAGATAGACTTTAAATACATACCTCTTGCTCTGATTAAGTGGAGGTTTAGATCTTAAAAGATTAAAAAAAAAAAAAAACATGTTAATAAACTTCCTTTGGGTTTTACTTCTGTATTCTGAAATGACTCCTTGTCATTTGCTTTCAGAGATCAAAGGAAGTAGCCCTTGCTGTTCATCTTAAATGTGTGTTGATCAAGCTGACCTGTTTCAGGTTATCCATAAGCTTGGTCAGCAGCCTAATTTTGTGTGTCTGTGGTTAAAGAGGGTAGGAGGGGGATAGACGCAGATGACATACTGTATAGGACAAAGCCCCCATCGCCAGGGGGGCCACAGTGGCTTCTTGGAATGGAGCCGCAGTTTTTTTTCCTGTTTTTTCCTTCATTGTGATTGGCAGAAATCCAGCAGCCCCTGCACCAGATCCACGTCTCCCACCGCAGAGCTGTCTCCTGCTCCCCCCAACTCCAGTTCGAGGTGGACAGAAAGCCCTCGTGAGCAAGAAAACCAACATGCACATATTTATTGAGTCTGGGCTTCGGGTAAGAATTAAGGTTAAAATGACACTTGCTGCCCACAGTGAATCTTTATCTTCTAATCTTCTGCTGACTTACCAGTTCTGCTCGTGTCCACTTGTTGTTGTTGTTGTTACGTGCTGTCGAGTCGGCCTCAACTCATAGCCACCCCCTCCTTGGGTTTCTGAGGCAGTATCGCTACTGAAGTAGATTGCCCAACCTTCCTTCCAAGGAGTGGCTGGTGAGTTTGAACCGCCAGCCTTCTGGTTAGCAGTCAAGTGCCTTAGGCACTATGCTACCAGAGCTCCTTCGTGTCCACTAGAAATGCCTTATTGTTAATAAACTATTAAACTTTTTTTTAAAGGTACATTGGCTGTACCTTTCCTATTTGTTGCTCCCGGGATTTCCTTAGAAGCTTTGGTGGTACAGCAGTTAAAGCACTAAACTGCTAACCAAAAGGTTTGAGCCCACTAGCGACTCGATGGGAGAGGGATGTCAGCTTCTCTAAAGATTTAGTTTTAGAAACCCTGAGAGGTGGTTCTACTCTGTCCTATAGAGTCACTAGGAGTCTAAAATAACTTGGTGGCTGTGAGTTGGGTTTGGTTTTAGTACTTGCTTTGTGATATAAACCATCCCAGAATTAATGATTCTGACCTGATGTTTACTGTGGCTTCTCTTGCTTTGCCCATGAACACCTCTGAACTGCTTCGACTTTTTTTTAAAATAAGATGGTGAACTTTTAAGAACACAAATCTGAGTGTTTCACTTCCTTCTTAAAACCCTTCAAGAAGTTCTGATGACACAGTGGTTAGGTGATCAGCTGCCAACTCAAGGGTTGGCAGTTGGAACCCATGAGTGGGAGCAAGGTTTGGCAGTCTGCTTCGTGAAGATTTACATCCTTGGAAAGCCTATGGGACAGTTCTACTCTGTCCTGTAGGGTCGCTAGGAGTCAGAATCAACTCAATGGCAATGGGAAATACCCTTCATTGGCTTCCATTCCTTTAGGAGAGAGCGCAGTCCTTCATTTGGGCAAGGACCTACTTTCATACTGTGCCGATCCACCACGCATCCCAGCTCACCGGTTTCCTTCTAATTGTGTGAAGTCAGTGCACTCTTTCCCGACCAGGACCTTCCTACCTGCTGTTCCCTCTGCCCAGATCTCCACAGAACTCTCAGCACCCTGTGTGTCTCCTTTCTGGCATTTATTGCAAGTTAATTATTTCTTTGGATTCTGTCTTCGTGGCCAAGATCCATCAGGGTAGGGACCATGTCTGCTTGATCATTGTTGCATCCTGAGTGTCAAGCCAGTGCCTGGAACTGTAGTAAAAACTAAAAACTCACGGCTGTCGAGTCAGATCTGACTCATATTAACCCCTGCAGTGTCACTACAGAAATAGATTGCCTGATCTTCCTTCCAACCTTCTGGTTAACAGTCAAATGCCTTAGGAACTATAGTGGACACTGTTTATCATGTAGTAAATGAACTTAGTATCTCAACTGCAAAACAAGAGCCTACCTTCTTGACTTCCTGTGGAGCTCCCAAGTAGTTCCCCACTTAAAAATTTCTGTCATTTAATATTTTACGTTGTCTCTTAAAATCATTTCACATTTCCCTAACAACTGGGCTTTTTGGGTGATGAATATGAAATAGCCTTTTTAAATCTTTTAGCTGCTGCATCTGAGTCTGAAGAATTCCAAGGTCAAGTCCTCAAGTGAGCATGTTTTGGAAATGTTGGATCCCTTTGTACCTCTTCTCATAGACTGCCTGGGTTCCATGGATGTGAAGGTGAGTGTAGGTTCACAGTCCATGTTGGAGCATCCATTCCTTTGCAAAAGTTGTGTCATACAAAATACCTAGAGCTTATTTCTAGCCTTGTACTACACAGGATGGTTGAGTTTTTAAAGTGATTTATGACATCATGAACCAACACTCTTACCTGCATTAAATTGTTTCCCCAATTTAATAATACTCAGTGTCTGTATAGCCCTGTAGGTACATTATTTCATTTGACCCTCACATCATCATGCAAGTGAGTGATACTGTCCCAGGCCAGCCATCATCATCATCATTGCCATCATCATTGTCCCTCCTCCTCCTCAGTGCTATGAATCTTAAAGACATTGTCTCTAATTCTCACAACAACCTCTGAGGCATATTTTATTAATGTTTCTTTTTATATATGAGAAAACTAGGGCTTACACTAATTGACTTGCCCAGCATCACAGAGCTGATAAGACCAAGGGTATGAACCCAAGTCTGTCAGACTCCAAAGCCTACATATCTCCTGTTTCCTCATATTGCTTGTTGTGTAGAATAGGTGCTGAGAGGTTAAGTAGCATCTCCAGAGTCAACCAAGTAAAAAGTTGCAGAGCTGGGATTTGAGCCTGGGGCTTTTTGACTCCAAAACCCAAGCTCTTCTGTGTCTTTATCTGATCCAGCCCAGTGAGGACACTACAGCAGCCCGACCTGTAGGGGCTCTATAGTTAGAGCTGAAGTAGGCAGTCTCTAAGGTTTGGCCTCGACGTTCAGGGATCCTCTGTAATCACACAGTACTAATAAATAATTAATTATATAATATACTGAATTCTGTTTTTCCCATGTTTAATTTCAGAGCCAGCTATGGGCTCCATAAATGCAGGGATAAGTGTCTTTTTTTTTTTTTTAATCATTGTATTTCTAATACCCAGCAGAGCACCTTGTATACATAATAGGAACTTAGTAAGAATGTATTAAATTAAAGTCACTTACTGGAAACTAGAAGTCATTTATGATGCACTTTTCCACAAAAAAAAAACCTTCCTCAAGTTGGCCAGCCCACCCATCATTTACTGTATAGGCTGAGACTGTGGTAAGTGAGCACCTTTGCTCTTTTGCTCGTGGTGTGTCTTCACATGTTGTGGATGAGCATGTGTTCTTCTCCAGGGAATAAAAAGCCTCATCTTCTTCCATTTGGGGGCCCAGTTCTTACAGAGTGGGTTGGCCGAGCATTTCATTCAGTCGGTCCAATAACTGATAGAGTCCACCCAGGCTCAGCTGCTGGATTTTGGGGTTTGGTGGTCACTTCCTGAGTTGATTTTTTTTCCTTCCCCAGGTGATCACAGGCACTTTACAATGCCTCATCTGGGTCTTGAAGTTCCCCCTGCCTTCCATAGAAACAAAAGCAGAACAGCTGACGAAACACCTGTTCCTTTTGCTGAAGGACTATGCAAAACTCGGGGCTGCCAAGGGCCAGAACTTCCACCTGGTGGTGAATTGTTTCAAGGTGAGGTGTTTGCACTTGCACTTAGACAAAGCCAGGACCAGGATCACATCAGAGATGAGTTTTCCCCATCATCTTTTTTGGTCTTGATCAAAATTTTTACCAGATTAATTTGCTAAGACTAAGATGGTAGGTACTAACTATATGGAGTCCTTACCATTTTCACTAAACCCTGGGTTGTGGGATGTGTTGGCTGCTGACCTCACTGTTGGAACTTGCAGTGTGTGACCATACTTGTGAAGAAAGTGAAGTCTTATCAGATAACCGAAAAACAGCTGCAAGTCCTGCTGGCATACGCAGAGGAAGACATTTATGACACCTCAAGACAAGCGACTGCGTTTGGTCTTCTCAAGGTATGACGTCACCAGTGTGTCAGCTTCCGCAGTTTATGGGCCTCACAACAGATACTTAGACTAATGTGCAACACAGTGTTTGACTCGAAAAAGACTTTGGACATAAATAATTTATAAGGATTAAATTGATTTGGGTGGGTTAATTGTAGCCAACATGTCTGCTTATTGAAATGTTTGAATGTATGCTCTATTCAAATGTTTCCCAGTGTTCTTTACAAATACTTGTATTTGCTGTATTAGACTTTTTTTTTCCCTTTCAAAGATACTTTAATTGTGTTTGAGAACTGCCTGTTACTGCTCTAACATCAAGTATACTTAAGCCCACATGAATGAGTCTGTTTTTCTTGCTCTTAGGCCATTTTATCAAGAAAATTGTTGGTTCCCGAAATAGACGATGTCATGCGAAAAGTATCCAAGTTGGCGATTTCTGCACAAAGTGAACCTGTCAGAGTCCAGTGCAGACAGGTGTGTAGAAGAGCTTATCACTCTTCCAGCATTGGGCTCTGCGTTATTTGCTTTGTTTTTAGATACATAGACGTCAACATTGAGTTCTGAGATTTGCTTGTGTCACATTATTGCTTTATTCTAGGCTTTGGAACACCTTTACACACCAAGTGTGAGAAGGGTCTCTGCATTGTCTTAGGGTATTTTTCAGTTAACAAGAGCATTAACTGAGTGTAGCCCACTGTGTATGGCATGTAATAGATGGGATGAGAATTACATTTTCCTTCTGCAGATTGGTACCCTACAGGAAAGGTTTCCATCCAATGGTCCACTCTGCTACTTACTCATATCTCTGTACCAGGGATGGCTGGAAGAGCAGTAATCAAAATTTTTATGGTCACCATCCTATAGGACTAAGGCAGTTGGTTGCTAACCAAAAGGTCAGTGGTTTGAAACAACCAGCTGCTTCGTGGGAGAAAGATGAGGCAATCTCCCGTAAAGAGTTGCTGCTTGGGAAACCGTATGGGCAGTTCTGTTCCGCCCTACAGGGTTGCTATGAGTTGGAATCGACTCGATAGCAGTGGTTTTATCCTACAGGAGACAGGCACAAAACAAAAATTCCACAAATAGTTATTGAATCACAGTCATCATAAGTACAATAAGTAAAAAGTACTGTCCTGTTTTATCAGTTCTTAGAGCATCACGCTGTATACCTCAGAGAAAGAACAGCTATGACACGGTGGTGAGACACCATCAATTGTAGATGCATCCCAATTTCAGATATGTTAAAATGTGAAGAGCTGTGTACCTTAGCATTGGTGAAATAACAGAATGTGTGCTAGGGACATGTGATAGGGTAGGGGCCCAACCCAGTGCAGGCCAGGGGAGGCTTTCCTGAGGATTGACATTGATGCCAGAATTTGAAGGAAGAATAAGACTTAGCCTTCCAGGTGAGGGGAGTAGCAAATGCCTGAGATAGGTAAGTAAGAGCTTAGCTTGTTCAAGGAAGTAAATGAAGGTAAGTGAGGTGGGGAAGGGGAACCAGGTTAAACAGGACCCTGTTGTCTTGTTGAAGGTACCCTGGAGTGGTTAAGCGTTCAGCTAAGTGAAAGGTCACCAGTTCAAACTTACCAGCCATACCTTGTGAGAAAGATAATGGAATTCTGTGTCCATAAAGATTATAGCCTTGGAAACCCTATAGGCAGTTCTTTATCCTCTAGGGTCACTATGAGTCAGAATCCACTCAGCAGCAACAGATTAGAGGCTGTCTTGTTAAAGACTTAGGACTTCCTTCTAAGGAAATCATTGTGCAAGGGGGTGGCATGATCAGATTTGTGTTTATACATCCATCCATCACTAACCTGTGAGCACGTATCATACCCAAACCAGAAAAACAAACCCACTGCTGTTGAGTCAGTTCTGACTCACAGCAACCCTGTAGCCCAGAGCAGAACTGCCCCACAGGGTTGCCAGTGCTGTCATTCTGTCCAGAAGCAGACTACCTTACCATTTTCAAATCCACCAGATGGTGGATTTGAACCACCAACTTTTGGGTTAGCAGTCAAATGCTGCTTAAAACACTACACTACCAGAACTCTATATAACATACCCAGAAGGTAGAAAAGTCTGAGTTGGAGCTACAAACTCACAGTTAAAGGTGGGTTTAGGCTGCTGCGGAAGCCAGGGTGAAAAGACGGAAAGGCATGTTTTTAAAAGGAGTGTGCTTTACTACTGTTAGCTAGAAGGAAGGCCAGCTGTAAAGCAGTAGCTTGTGTCCAACACTTAATGTACATGATCTCTATTTATAACCACCCTTCAAAAGAAGCAGTATCCCCATTTTTTAGCTAGGGGAAAAGCAGGCTTAGAAAGTTGAATGCTGGTCCTTAGCTCTCACACTGTATCAGTGTAAAAGAGGCTGGATAATATGGTAGTTTGAAAGCACAGCTTTCAGATGCAGCCAGCTAGACACCTGCTGTTGTCTCTTGAGCAAGTTGCTTACCTCTGTGCCAACTTCATTCTTCTTGTCTGTAAAACGGGACAATGATAATATCACTTACTTTTTAAGGCAGCAGTGAGCATTAACCAAGAACTGGTTAATACATAGAAGGTATTTAATTAATGCATTAGTAGTTATAAATATTACTATCACCATTATTCCTATTAGTATTCAGAGAGAGACATAGAGTTGATCCAGAATCTATAGTCTACCATACCACACCACCTATCAGAAAGAGATGACCTGATGACCTTCCAAAGTATAAGCCTGCAACAACCATGCCAGTCGCATCCAGCTTCAGTCTTTATGAGGCACGTGGAACAGGACCTGGATAAGTAAGGGGGCAGGAAGGAGGGGCGTTGACTTACTAGGCAGACTTAACCCGAGGCCATTAGGAAGTCTGACTCATCACCCTCCTGCAAGGTCTTCTCTCTACCAGTGTGTCCAGAAAGCAGCCTAGGAAACAGGAGTCCTGGAGAGATGGGATCCAAATCATCACCTGTGCAACTTTTGTTCCTAGGTTTTCCTGAAGTACGTTCTTGACTATCCCCTTGGTGACAAACTGAGACCAAACTTGGAATTCGTGCTCGCTCAACTGAAGTACGCTCAAGTGGGAACCACACATGGGCACAGGGGTAGTTTCTTCCTTTTATGGTGGTGTGTTGTCTTGAAAAGGACGAAGCCTAAAAATAATGGCCTATCACCCAAGGGTGCTATTTATCATATGAGTCATTTTGGTTATCAGACTTTGTTGCTTGGCTTTATGTAGCAGTTCCATATGTTGCTTTTCAGTCTTAGAAACATACAAACCACTGATTATTAAAAATATAGCGAAGTTACATTTAAAACTGCACAGTAGTTGGTAGATTTATATCAACTCATTAAAGTGGGAAAATGAAAGTTTTTTCTATTTTTTAAGAAAGAAGTTAATACTTTGATGCAAACTTTTTTGGTAATTCCTGGTAAATTTAAAAGACCATCAAGCGAATCTAATGTTGTTGCCCTAGTTATGAACACGAGACTGGGAGAGAGTCCGCCTTGGAAATGATCGCCTATGTCTTTGACACGTTCCCTCAGGTACTGTGAATTAGAGACAAGCTCTTCAGCCATGCTCTCCAATGTCCCTGAAGCCCCACAGCCTTCCCCTTGTAGGGCATCTGTGAGAATTCCATTTGGAATGTGTTCATAAACACCTGCTTTCTTTTAGGGACTGCTTCATGAGAACTGCGGGATGTTCTTTATTCCTCTTTGTCTAATGATGGTGAATGATGACTCTGCCACATGCAAAAAGATGGCATCCATGGCGATCAAGTCCTTACTCAGTAAAATCAACCTTGAGAAGAAAGACTGGCTGTTTGATATGGTTACCACCTGGTTTAGTGCAAAAAAGGTTAGGGTGTGTTTAAGACCATCAGTGGCAACTTTTAACATTTCTTATTTGCTGACAATATCAAAATATTTATACTTTAAATAAGAATACATGTTACCCATTGCTGATTTAATTTTTCCCAAGTGGAAATAGCTTTATTGTTTTTATCTGATTATGGAAAAATATATTTCTATTGTAAAATTTAAAAAAATACAGGAAGTTATAGAGAGGAACATGAAAATCACCTGTATTATTGTCACCACTTCATGAATGTTTGTTGAGTGCTCCGCTCATCAATGTAATCCTACTTAACCAGCCCCCTGTTGATGAATTCCTTTATTTCCAGTTTTGTTTATTTAATTACTGGAATGTAATTCTTATTATCTGCTTGCTCGCTCAGAAGCTCTGGTGGCATAGTGCCTACACCATTTGACTGCTAACCTGAAGGTTGGTGGTTCAAACCCACCAGCCACTCCTCAGAAGGAAGGTTGGGCAATCTACTTCTGTAGTGATACTGCCTCAGAAGCCCAAGGAAGGGTTGCTGTGAGTCGGATCTCACTTGACGGCAGTGTGTTGCATTGTTGTTGCTTGCTCAATCTGCCACCATCACCATTGGCTCATCTGTGTGGAATGGAAGCAGCAAATGTCCCTAGATCAATAACTAGCTTGTTGCAGACCCACGTAATTAAGGGGGACAAATGACACTTCTCTCTGTTCTTGTTTTTTGAAAAATGTTACTCTTGTGTATGATGATTTCTCCAGCGTTTTGTCATGTTTCCCACCAGAGCTCTGTATTTTATTGATTTGTGGCTTCATAACTATTTTTATTGTCTCTAAATGCTGAGGACAAAGCAATGCCCCCCTTCATTTGACATTTTCATAAACGACCTTCCAAACTGTGCTGACATCATCTTGTGGTGTTTGATTTTTGGCAGAGCTTAAATCGACAGCTGGCTGCCCTGATCTGTGGCTTGTTTGTGGAAAGTGAAGGAGTTGCTTTTGAGAGGAGACTTGGACCTGTTCTTTCTGTGATTGAAAAGGAAATTGATCCAGAAAACTTTAAAGATGTAAGTCAGTGACTGGGGAATCAAAGTTTTACGGTTTCACTGAGATGATTAGATTAAATATTGTGTTCAAAAATGTCCTTTACTCCAAAAAAAAGTGTTCTTTATTAATAATGGCAAGAATTCAATGTAGTTAGAACTTCTTTTTAAAATAGGGGTTAAAAAAACAAAACCCATTGCCGTCAAGTCGATTCCAAGTCATAGCAACCTCTGCTGGGTTTCCAGTGGAGGCTGTAAATCTTTACCAAACATCTTCCTCCTGTGGAGCGGCTGGTGGATTTGAACCTCAGCCTTCTGATTAGCAGCTAAATGCATTACCCACTGCACCACCAGTGCTTCATGAAATATGGGTTAGAACCCCTGTAACTATTGCCCTAAGATCAAAATATCCTTTAAGAAGTCTTCTTGAAACCAAATGTCCTTTAGCTATACTGGTATGAAACTGTCTGCCTTGAGCATTTTGCTCTTTTAAGAACTGTCTATATGGGATCCAAGTGACAATTGAAGATTACACAGAAGCCTTAGGGAGCAGTGCATTTGCGTTAATGGAGGAAGAACAGTTCAGAAAAGGAGGGTGAGGGTGGTTGCCCAGCTGGAAGGGTGTCAGCGGGGTCACTGAATGGCACACGTAGAAGCAGTTGGATTGGTGTGTGCTTTGCTGTGTGTATTTTCAACCACAGAATAAATTTTAAATATGTAAGAATTACAGCAGGTTATCGTCCATACTGTATAAAGGTTGCAGGTTTTCAAGAAGAGTGATTCTGACCTCAGCGTATTTGGCAATGTTGTTGTTGTTGTTATGTGCCGTCGAGTCGGCCCCGACTCATAGCGACCCCTCCTTGGGTTTCTGAGGCAGTATCACTACGGAAGTAGGATTGCCCAACCTTCCTTCCGAGGAGTGGCTGGTGGGTTTGAACCGCCAGCCTTCTGGTTAGCAGTCAAGTGCTTTTAGCCACTATGCTATATCTAGGGACATTTATGGTTGTCACACTGTGAGGACAGGGCACTGCCAGCGTCTTGTGGTAAAGGTCAGAGACGCTGCCACATATCCTAGAGTGTGCACCGGCGCCCCTGCAGCAGAGCACTTTTCAGCCAAAATGTCCTCGTGCTGAGGCTGAGAAACCTTAGTGTAAATTGACATGTTAGAGTTAATTGTCTACCAGATACTCCCCGATTATTCTCTTAATTGATTTACATCCATCACATTTTCAGATAATGGAAGAGACAGAAGAAAAAGCTGCAGACCGCCTTCTGTTCAGTTTTCTTACATTGATAAGTAAACTCATCAAGGAATGTAGCTTTCTTCAGTTCACCAAGCCCTCTGAGGTTTTGACTAAAATCTGGAGTAAGTATTTCCTTCCTATTTAAGTCTGAAAACAGAGATTCTGATTGTGATAGAAATACTGAATGTAGATTTGAGAAATAAGAATATAGACGTTTCAGAAACTATAATATCAGGGGGAAAAAAATCCATGAAAGAAAGAAAATCTAAAGGCCCTTTGGGATTGATTTTAGTGACCATGTCTCTTTCTGGAAAACATAGATAATGTATTTATGACTTCATGAGTAAATTTTACTTAAAAAAGAAATAATAATTGTGGGAAAAAAATGTTCCCAAAGTTCTGTGTGCTACTTGAGGATACTTTGGTATATATTTCCATCCAGTCTTTGTTTTTGTTGAATAGTTATAAAAATTTTGTTGTTTGTTTTTGGAGAGTTTGCATAGATCCATGTAAGCATTTATATCCTGTTTGTTTATACTTAAGTAAGCATATTCTCATAACAAATGTAGTGGATATCCTTTAAAATAATTGTGAAATAGTCCATCATGTAAATGTACTATGATTTACTGAACCATTTCGCTTCTTGGGAATATATATACATATGTACCAAACCAAACTCAACACCATCAAGTTGATTCCAACTCACAGAGACCCCTATTGGGTTCCCGAGGCTATAAATCTTTATGGAAGTAGATCACCCCATCTTTCTTCCATGGAACAGCTGGTGGGTTTGAACCACTGACCTTCTGGTTAGCAGCCAGGTAGGTGCCTTATCCACTACGCCACCAGAGCACCCACTCTTTAAATGAAAAATAAGACATTAGTTTTTTGTGGAGTTTTTTAGGGTTAATTTAACGTTCTCAGTTTTGATTCATCTGTAGAAAATAGTCATGGGCATGAATGCTTGAAATACCTACCCAATTTAAGAGCCTGAATGAATTCCCAGTCTCTGAGAAATAGTTGTTAATGTGAGGGCTGCTCTAGTGTGGCCTCACTGAAATATGGGTAGATTATTACAGAGACTTGTGTAGAATGAAAGAATAACCGTGTTCTTAAAACATGGCAGCACAGACTAAAGCTGAGATACATGTTACATGGTTAATCTGGAATTTTAATCCTCTTCCCTGCCACCCACATTATAAGCCTCGTCCACTGTATTTACCAGGTTTGTTATGTAAGTTTAATGCTTAAGCATGTGAGCTTTGAGGTTAGGTGGAAAGGAGTCAGTCCTGGCTTTGTGTGTTACAGCTTGGCAAGTCACTTACCTGTCTGGAACCTTAGTTTCCTCATCTGTAACATGAAAGTGACACTTCCAACCTTACAGAGTTGCTGTGAGGTCTAAAGGAAGTAATTCATGTGTACCTGGCACATAGAAAGCCTTCCATAAATAATAGCTTTCTAGTCAACTCCTTGGAGCCACCGATTTCAGTAATTATTAGAAATAAACATGTGTCGATGTACATGTTTACTTACTTAATTTAGAAAATGTAACTATTAATGCCAATTTATCTCCCTTGAGTCTGAAACTAGTTCTTGTGGAAATAATCTATTTTTAGGGTTACTTGTATCTCTTCTGTGTTGTTTACCATGCTAACCTGTTGCTGTTAAGTCAGTTCCAATTCATAGCAAACCTGTAGGACAGAGTAGGACTGCCCCATAGGGTTTCCAAGGTTGTAATCTTTACAGAGGCTGACTTGGCACATCTCTCGCCCGTGAAGTAGCTGGCAGTTTCAAACTATTGACTTTTTGTTTAGCAGCCAAGGACATAACCCCTGCACCACTAGGGCGCCTTACCGTATTAGGTGTTGCTTTTCTGTTGCTTTCCAGTGTCTCTTCCCTTCACCTGTCCCCTAACCCCTCGTGAGCTTCTTGGAAGCAGTGATTATTTTATTCATCTTTGTATTCATGACTCCAAACACATAATACTCAATAAATGCCAAATATTGTACAACTTACCACCCAAAACCAGGAAAGCTGTGAGATGACTGAGCATGTCTTTTGGGTCCCGTAGGTCACGTGCACACTCACCTGAGGCATCCACACAACTGGGTGTGGCTCACCGCAGCCCAGATTTTTGGATTGCTGTTTGCCTCTTGCCAGCCAGATGAGCTAGTTAGAAAGTGGAATGCCAGGAAGACGAAAAAGAGCCTTCCAGAACCTGTAGCAGTTAGGTTCCTGACAAGTGACCTGGACCAAAAGGTAAGGTTTCTCCAGAACCCTTTCCTCCCCTTGTGACCTGTATGAGGCCTTCACTCTGGTCAGAGAACCATCTCAGGTTCGGCCCTTGGGAGAAACTTTCCCAGCTTGTGCGTGTCAAGTAACGGGTGTAGTAAGTGGAGAGAGGCCCCCCCCAAAAGGGCACATTGTCAAAGATAATTATTAAACCTTCAGTCTAGTCAGACTTTTGATTTGCTTTTTTAGCACAGTAATCTTCTTTTACATATATATGTGTGTATATATATATAAAAAATGCTTTATCAACATTGGACAGTAACATTAATCCTGTCTGTTCTGCCTCCTTAATAACCTTGTTAAGGACTAAGTGAGAGCCTGTTCCTCAAACTATTAGGTAGGGACCGTGTTGTAGCCTTCTCTGATTTCCCAGGGCCAGCCACAATGCCTGGCTCATGGTGGAAGCTCCAAACTCAAAAACTACTCACAGCAACCTCCACTGGGTTTCTGAGGCTGTAAATCTTTGCGGAAGTAGATCGTCCTGTCTTCCTTCTATGCAGCACATGGTAGATTTGAACCACTGACCTTCCGGTTAGCAGTTGAGTGCCTTATCCACTACGCCACCAGAGCTCCTTAGGTGGGAGCTCCATATATACTAAATGAGAGAGGAGGGAAGGGAAGAAGAGAGGAAGGAAAAAAAAATTGTAATGCTTCAAAGTGCTCTGCTAATAATCTAAGGAATTGCAACCTGTACCTTCCCAAGCTTGAAAGTATCCACTTTCTTTGGGATGAAATGCTTGGGGCAGGGAAATGGAAACACTTCTACAATATTTGATCATGAATCTTCTCTCTCTAGATCTACACAGGTGGTCTTTCAGAGCAATGCTAGTACTGTGGGATGTCATATTATGATTGGTTAGTAGGAGTGTTTTGAAAACAGAAACGTACTACATTCTGCCAGTGCCCGTTTTCTTTTCACAGATGAAAAGTATTTCTTTAGCTTCTTGCCATCAGTTGCATTCCAAATTCTTGGACCAGTCGCTGGGAGAGCAGGTAAGAATTGTAATCCTGCCAGCGTGATAGACAGGAATTCTACCGACAGTCTAGGAATAGGCTCACATTTGGCATTTGGTTTGGTTTCCAGCCTATTTTAGTGCTTGGAAAATCAGATGAAATATGAGCATACACTCAAATATAGGTCCATGTGGGATTACCCTTGGCTCCTTTTTCAATTCCCAGTAAAGATGATGCAGTGTGAGGCCGGTGGTTGATATTTTCACCTCAGCCTTAACATAGCTACTCCACAGTGGGACTGGCGCATTACTTTCCATCTGTAAAACCTTTTGGATGACCGTATTATAAAACATAGCTGTAAATTCAGTGTACTTTCAGATGATTGTTCCGCTGTCCCCTTGTATCGTTTCCTCCTCTGGTAAAGCAGTTGGTGGGCAGATGATGAGCCCACGTAGCCGTGTTACCTGGGTGGGAGTGAGGCTCTTGGCCATGTCTCATGACTCATGGACAAGATGGGACCACATGGACTAAATGACAGTACACTAGAAGTTAGTGGAATACCTGACTCTGTCTCAAGTGGCATGCCATAAACCCTGCTCTTCCTGTCACTTGTTTCAGTGAAGATTTAACATGCTTTGTTATATGGCCAGGTTGGGGAAGGAGTGGCTAGCCATTACCAAGAATGGCAAAGTGAGGCCAAAGAAGTCCTGCCGAGATAGACGTATTATCAGTTTTAACAGAGACAAATACAAGGCGATTCCCACTGAGAGCAGAAGAGCCCTGGCTGGCACAAAGATTAAGTGCTTGGCCACAGAATGTCACAGAGTTAGGGACTCAATAAATGGGTCCCTTGTTTTAAGAGCAAAATCAGCCCCTGGGCTATTTAACTAACTGAATTGGATGGGATTTGAGGAGGACGAGCTCAGTGTTTATGTACTTGGGCTTGAATTCGAAAGAGTTTTTAATCCTGGCTGACCATTCACTTCCTATGTCTTTAGGGGAGTTATTTAATATCCCTAAGCCTTGGTTTTTCTCTCCTGAGAATAGTACCTGGCAGAGTTATTTTAAGCCTGAATTGGGACACTGTATACAAAGCAAGTAGTCAGTACTCAATGAGTGGATGTTATTATCTCACGAGGAATGAGTGAAGGAATTTCATGGAGTGGGGATGAAAACCCTTTTTAAATGTAAATGGATAGTTAGGAATGAAATCATTTACTCTCTGTGGCCTTAAAGGGTAGAACCAGGCCAATCGGGTAAAAGTCACATGGCGATGGGTTTGGACACACTATGTTGAAGAACAGGAGAATGACTGAGAAATGGGACATTCATCAGTTTAATAATGCAATACCCAATTGTTTGTTTTTATTTCTCATTGAGAATACCTGTATGAGCCCCATATGTTTCACAATCAAAGTCTGTGCCTTCTCTTCCCCTTTTCTTTTAAGGTTGTTAAGAATTTGTTGTTTGTAGCCAAAGTCCTGTATTTACTGGTACCTGATCCTGAGGATAAGCAAGATGAGCTGGAAGAAGAGGGCGCTTTAGCAGACGGTGTGACCACAGAGAGGATGGAAGGACGCAAGGCCTGCACAGCTGAGAAAGCGGAGTCTGACAGAGAAGGGGACGAAGAGGCGAAGGAGGAGCCCAGCAAGCCGGCCACCCTGCTCTGGCTGATCCTGAAGTTGTCCCGGGTGGCGAAACTGGAAGCTGCTTACTCACCTCGAAACCCCTTAAAGGTGCAATGAATGTGCAGAGTGCTTACTGAAGGAATCATTCAACAGAGCTGTGTTGGAGCTTACAAAGTAAATTTTCATAACCCCAGCTTAGCAGCACTTCAGACAAGTGAGCCTTCCCAGGAAACTGCCCCTAAGAGCTCTGCATTTGGAAACCAAAACTGCAGCAATAGCTTCTGTTCCCAGCTGTTTTCCATATTAACTCTATGTATTTGTATGACTTCAAGTATAAAAGAAACATTTCAAGTGACCCGTGTTCTGTACTTTCAGAGAACATGCATCTTTAAGTTTCTGGGGGCGATAGCGATGGATCTGGGCGTCGACAGAGTGAAGCTGTATCTTCCAATGATCATAGCACCTTTGTTTCGAGAACTGAACAGCACCTACTCAGAGCAAGGTAGCCCACCTCTGGTCTCTCATGTTTTCACATCACAACTCATGACTTCTCTGCTGAATGCTTCCTTCTTCCTTCCTCACTTCACTCCTTCCGGAGAATCTGGGGAGAGAGTCGCTAGGTGTAAAAGCAGCCAACAGCAAGCAAAGAGAGCATTGCTGTATTCTGTTTGGCTGCCCTCTCTCACACTTTCTCTTATCTAAAAGTGAGTATTTCTCTTCTAAAAGATACTGTTGTCCTCTTTAAAAAAAAAAAAACTCACTGCCACCAAGTCAGTTGTGACTCATAGCAACTATAGGACAAAGCGGAGCTGCCCCCATAGGTTTCTAAGGCGGTAATCTTCATGGAAGCAGACTACCACATCTCTCTCCAGGGAGCGGCTGGTGGGCCTCTCTGTGGTCCCACCGTCTGCTAAAGCGCCCTCTTCTTTCCTGTCTTCTTTTGGCTCATCTTGCTTATCCTCAGGATCAGGTACCAGTAAATACAAGACTTTGGCTACAAACAACAAATTCTTAACAACCTTAAAAGAAAGGGAAAGGGAAGGCATAGACTTTGATTGTGAAACATATGGGGCTAAGTAAACGGAAGCTAATCTTTGGGTTAGCAGATGAGTACTTTAACCACTGCACCACCAGCCCTCCTTACTGTTTCTCTTCTTAAGCATGTGTTAAACATACAGAGAAAATTATAGTTTGGGGTGATTTTAAACCTTGTAGTATATGAACAGTAAAGAGTAATGAAATGTCACATTCTTAAGAATCATAAGGTAAAAATAGTGCAATATCATTTTCATATGACATACTTTTTTGATTTGTACCTATTTTTCTTCTTTTTTTCCTTGCCTGGTATTTTTGATACATTTCTCTCACTGATCCTCATTGTCTTTGTTGATAATAGAAAAAGAGGGTAAAGTGGACGCTGAAACAGTTAAAAACTAGAATAAAACAAAGTAGGTTTTTGTCAAAGCAGGCTCTGTGATAGTCCTGCCATCCTGAGAGACAGTTGTGTTGATGGTACCATCAGGGCCACTAGAGAGGAAAAGGGCAAACATGAAGGTCGGGCTTCTGGCAGAGCCCGAGTCTGGTCTGCTGTGGTTCCCATCCAGCCAGCATTGTTGAGCACCTGATATTTGCCAGGCACTGAGTTAGGGGCAGTGGGTTCAGCAGTGGAGAAGGCACAGTCCCTGCCTTCAAGCAGCTCACAATCCACTGCAGGTATCCCGACTCCCCTGAAGCTGAGTACAAAACTCAGGGTATTACATTGGGGCGGGGGACAAGGAAGGATGAGAAAACATTGCTTCTCGTCAGCTTCCCAAAGGAGTCTTTGATCCAGGAAAAGGTTATCATGGGTAGAGCTAAGCCCCTGCGGCCCATAAATTAGGGCGGTGCTGGTGAAACACTCTTTCCCCGATCTGCACAAGGGCTGAGCAGGTTAATAAAGGCAACTCAAAACGTTTCTATCAAGTTCTCGGATCATTGTCTTCAGAGCCAGGACTCTGCCGGGAAGTCCGCCCCTGACTCGGAGATGATGCAGGGAGAGCAGTAGCCCGTGCTTCTGCTCGTTCCTCCCGTCTCAGAAACGTCGAGGCTGCCTTTAGATCAGTGTTTGATGTTAAGGAAATGGAAGTGATAGGGCTGCTGCAGGGGTGGAAATTGTGCATTGTTGACTGTGGTATTGTTTTCAGTGTGTCCTTTCTTAATTGACTGTCTGATCGGTACTCTTTGTGTGCAATTAGATCCTCTGCTGAAGAATCTATCCCAGGAAATCATAGAATTACTCAAAAAGCTGGTTGGGCTTGAAAGCTTCTCATTAGCCTTTGCCTCTGTGCAGAAACAGGCGAATCAGAAAAGGGCACTGCGGAAAAAGAGGAAGGCTTTGGAGGTGAGTTTGCTGTTGGAAAACGTGGCATGTTGATGAGGCTTAGTAACTGTTTTTAACCGTGTCTGTGCGGTGCACACAGGGAGGGAAGAGGGATTGGTTAGTTCTGTTTGAGAAAAGGGGACTTAGAGCTGGGGCTTTTTCCCAGGCTCCAGATTTTCTTTAATGAGCAGGTATTATTGTATTCATGATTGAAAAGTAAACAAAATGACACATTTCTGCACTTGATTCTAAAGTAATATGAAATTTCTGTTCTTTTCTCAAGTTTGTAACTAATCCTGATATTGCTGCCAAGAAAAAGCTGAAGAAACACAAAAATAAAAGTGAAGCGAAAAAGAGAAAAATAGAGTTTCTGCGTCCAGGCTATAAGGCCAAGAGGCAAAAGAGCCACAGCCTGAAAGATTTAGCAATGGTGGAATGAGGTGCTCCGGGAGCTCACACCCAGCCCTGAGTCACACCTGCTGTCTCAACTGGCCCCAAAGCACAAAGTATCGGGTGTTTTTGGTCTAAAATCACATCCAGTTTTATTGGTTATATATATTTAAGTTAAACTTTGGCATAAATTGTATAATATATAGTTTAATATAATCATGCTCATGTTTTTTTTTAATTAAATATGCTTAAAACATTTTATTATAATGACTGTATCTTCACTGTCTAATATGCATAGGACACTAGCACTAAAGAATTTAAGAACATTCTATTTTTAAGGAAAGATAATAGCAAGAGAAATGTAAAAGAAATTAGGAATACACCTAACAAAAGATGGGCAATGCTTTTATGGAGAAAATTACAAAACTTTGTCAAAAGACATTAAGGAAATGCAGTCATGTTCATTGCAGCATTACAATAGCAAAAAGATGGCAACATCCTAAGTGTCCATCGGTGAACATACGGGTAAACATCATGGTGCGTGCATACAGCGGAGTACTAGACAGAGATGAATAATGATGAATCCAGAGAACATCTCACAACATGGGTGAATCTGGAGGACATTATGCTGAGTAAAATAAGGCAATCACAGAAGAACAAATACTATGTGAAAGCACTACTATAAAATGTCAGAATGGGTTTACACAAAGAAACATTCTTCAGTGGTTACCAGGGATAAGAGGGCAACAGAGGGGAGAAATGCTAACTAGATGATAGACATGTTAATTCAGGTAAAGGGAAAGGCAATAACATAATATAGGGGAGCTCAGCACAACATGACCAAGGCAAAGGAAGATACTGAGAAGCACCCAAGAATATAGGGCAACTACAGTAAATACTGTAACATACACAATCCTGCAGCAACAGTAATAATAATTTATGAGTGGATACATAAGTAGATAATATGCTAAATACAGATGGGAAGTTGTATGGTACTATACCTGTGTGCATACATAGACATAGTTATGGATATTTCTACATACATATTGGTAAATACTGCATGTCTATTCATATACATGTATGTGTATGTATATATATAATAGAGCACATAGTGAGCACAGTTATGGGAACTTCTTAGATATAACCAAATACCTCACGGGACTGAACTACTGGGCTTGAAGGCTACAGACCATAGTCTTGAAGGAATGTCCAAATCATTTGGCATAACAGTTCATAAAGATAATAATACTCTGTATCCTAGTTTGGTGAGTAGCATCTGGGGCCTTAAAAGCTTGAGAACGGCCATCTAAGATACAGCTATTGGTCTCTTACACCCAGAGCAAAGGAGAGTGAAGAAAGCCAAAGACTAAAGAAAGCAATTAGTCAAAAGGACTAATGCCCACATTAACCACAGCATCCTCTAGCTTGAGATCTGAACTAGATGATGCCCAGCTAACATTCCCAGCCACTCTGACCAGGAACTCAATAGAAGGTCCTAGTTAGGATGAGTGAAAAATGCAGAACAAAAATGAAATTCATAAAAAAGACCTGACTTTCTGGTCTGATAGAGATTGGAGGAAACACTCAGACTATTATTGCCCTAAGTCACCCTTCTAACTTGTAACTGAAGCCACTTCTGGAGAACACCTCAAACAAATAAAAAACTGGACTGTAAAATAAACAATAACACCCATGAGGAATGTGCTCCTTAGAACAACCAACTATACCAGACCAAAAGTAAAGATGAAAAGGCATGGAAAACAGACCAACGGAAACAGAACCAGGATGGAAATGAGGTGATGTTGACACAATGCAGGTATTGTAACCAATGTTACTGAACAATTTGTATATGAATTATTGAATGGAAAACTAATTTTCTATACAAACTTTCACCTAAAGTACAAAAGAATATTCAAAAAACAGAAATAGAAAAAAAAAGTAAGAAATACCAGGACAAATGGAAAAACAACCATGTTCACGGATAAGAATATCCAGTATCCTGTTCTCCCCAAGTTAATCTCATGCGTCAAACACAACTGTGAGCAAAATCTCAAAGGAATTCTTTATATTAATCTAACAAGCTGACTTTAAAATTTACATAGACGATAATAGGCCAAGAATAGCCTTGACACTTACAAAAGGAAAACAGAACAGAGTAGGGGCTTGCCAGACACTAAAAATAAGGCACAAAAAGTGCAAACGGAAGAGGCAGCATGATAAATTCTATTAAGAGACCTACATAAGTTGGGATATGGCATTTTCCATATAGTGATAAAGAACTAGTAGTACCCGGCCTATATAATGAACTTGTTTGAATCAATAAAGATAATCCAGTAGAAAAATTGGCAAATGAGAGAAATAGGCATTACACAACAGAAGAGAGAAATGGCACTTAAAATTGGAAGGGACACCCCTGGAGCTAATCTTCCACGGACATGGCCATGCCAGTTCTTAAAAGGAACAACAACATTGAGACCTCCAAATGCCACCCTGACTGCTTGGGGCCCTAGGTCCCAAATCTCCCCCAGATCCCCCATTTTGTGAGCTGATGTGAGAAGCCAGTCATTTGGCACGGGAGTTTTCTTGGGTGTTTGGCCTTCATCCAATAGATAAATGGCTGGCTAGCAAAGCTTGCTTGTTATCTCCACAATTCACTTCAAACCAATGATAAACGTGGCATCTTGGAAGACCAGTTTTAATTCATTCTAAGTGATTATATTAAACATACCAAAAAGTAGGATGCAAAATTTGCATGGTTTTTAAAATAAAATTTCCAGGCCTCTTTGGGCTGTATACTTCACTGCATAAAGCATTTACCTCCATTTTAGGGATTTTTGGTTGAAAGTTTTGAGAAACATTACAATAGAGATACCTACAGATAGCATAGTACCTTCCAGGTAAACTATTATTTGAACCAAGCTCTTCATGATCTAACCTACCATGTATTAGTAGGTTGGTTAATTTTCATCAAACAAAAGTGTTGGACTTAATTGTTGAACTTAAAACACTAATGCCTAAATTAGTACTCTGGGGCAACCAAATGAGTCAATGAGTCTTACTGTCATCAAAACTATGATGAGAGAGGATACAGACATGGTCCCGAACTTTAATAGCAGGCCAAGAATAAATGATTGTGGAGAGAATGCCTAGTTGAACATAGCAGATAGATACTTGTGTTTTTTCTTGTTCCTCCCTGTGTGAGTTGGGATCCTCTGAGAAGTAAATACCAAAATGGGATTCAGCATGGAAGAGATTTATTGGAGGAGGTGCATTTTGATAATAAATGAAAGGGACCCAGGAATGGAGAGCGGCTGAAGAGTGGGAAGGAAGGAAGGAAATTTTGATAGGGAAGAACCTTGGACTGCAGCACAGTCTGAAGAAAGGTTTGGCCAGGCCAGAAGGTAGTCTTCAAAGCTGCCCATTGGAGGAGTCTCATCTCTCATTTCTCACAGGAATAGGCCTGTATCATTGGCTGGGAGCATGGCCTCCAGTGTGAATCCAGAAGGGCAGTAGCAAGGGCTCTCAAAACAGTTGTGCAGATCAGAGTGGCACATTTTTATGGCCACCACATTCCAAACTCTAGGTGAAAGTGAACAAAGAAGAGAAGACTACAGTGGACAAGAGATTTGAAAAATTAGGAAAATGAAGGATAGTTGGAATGTGGTGATTAACTTTTAGCAACTTCGGTTCCTGAGTCTCAACACCTGTAAGCCACTCTCCTTCTGCGAGGGAGTAAGCAGTTCCAATATAGTGGCAGTGTAGTCGTCTTGACCCACTTAATTGCCTAGGTAACTAACTGCAGAAATGGCTCAGTCAGAGGATGATTAGGCCTTGCGGTTTGGCACACCCAGCAAGGACACTGGGGACATTCGGGAACCATGATAGCCTACCTCAGCCCATAGTCCCTTCCCTCCCAATCTTAGCCCTGCAGGTTCTTCTTGTTAGGTCCTATCGAGTTGGCTCCAACTCAGGGCAACACTATGTAAAACAGAACGAAACACTGCCTGGTCCTGCACCAGCCTCACAATCTTTGGTACCTGAGACCATCATTGCAGCCGCTGTGTCAAATCCATCTCATTGAGGGTCCTCCCCTTTTTCACTGACCCTCCACTTTATCAAGCATGATAATCCTTCTCCAGGGAATGGTCTCTTCTGACAATGTGACCAAAGTAGGTGAGATGAAGTCTGGCCATTCTCGCTTCCAAGGAACATGCTGGCTGCACTTTTTCCAGGACAGATTTGTTCGTTTTTCTGGCAGTGCATGGTACTTTTAAGTATTCTTCACCAACACCACAACTCAAAAGCATCAACTCTTCTTCGGTCTTCCTTACTCGTTGTCTAGCTTTCACATGTATATGTTGTTATGTGCCGTCGAGTCGAACCTGACTCATAGTAACCCCTCCTTGGGTTTCCAAGGCAGTATCACTACGGAAATAGATTGCCCAACCTTCCTTCTGAGGAGTGGCTGGTGTTGGTGGGTTTGAACCACCAGCCTTCTGGTTAGCAGTCAAGTGCCTTAGGCATTATGCTACCAGAGCTCCTACACGTATATGAGGCTATTGAAAATACCATGGCTTGGGTTAGGCGTACCTTGGTCTTCAAAGAGACATCTTTGCTCTTCAGCACTTTAAAAAGGTCTTTTGCAGCAGATTTGCCCAGTGCAATACGATGTCTGATTTCTTGGCTGCTGCTTGACAGGTTCTTAGCCAAGTTCAAACTTGCATGTGAATATGCCACCCTACCAGCACATACCACCACCACCAACAACAACAATTTGGATTAGAAACACAGACAAGGGCAGGGACCAAATCCATATTTTGGAGAGAAATTTGGCTTTCCAACCCTCCTAAACTTTTTATTGAGATTTAGGTGAAATTTTGCAAAGCAGATTTCATTTTACCTTCAACAGTTCATACACATTTTGTTTTGTGACACTGGTTATATTCCCCACAGTGTAACAGCTCTCCTCCCACTTCGGCCCTGTGGTTACCTTTTCTCTGTGTCCTTTCTGTGCATTCCTGTCTCTCTGCATTTCTCCCTGTGCAAATG